CCAATTACAGACGAAGGGGTCAGAGACCTGCTACACCACCTGGATGCACACAAGTCTGTGGGAGCGGATGGGTTACACCCAAGGGTGCTGAGGGTGTGGGCAGATGTGCTCGCCACGCTGTGGTCCATGATTTACCTGAAGTCATGGCTAACCTGGGAGGTCCCACTGGACTGGAAGGTGTTAGAAAGGAGGATTCAGGCAACTATAGACCTGTCAGTCTGAGCCTCGGTGCCATTAAAAGGTCATATAATGGACAACCAGGGGATCAGGTCTAGTCAGCATGGGTTTATGAAAGGCAGGTCCTGCCTGACAAACCTGATCTTCTTCTATGACAAGATGACCCAACTATTGGACAAGGGAAAAGCTGTGGATATTATCTACTTGGATTTTCAAAAAGCATTTAATCCAGTTCCCCATAGGATTCTCATGGCCTGGATGAGTGAACGGTATGCTGGGTCAAGGACTGGCTGGCTGGCTGGTCCCAGAGAGTGGTGGTCAGTGGAGCTAAATCCAGCTGGGGGCTGGTCACAAGTGGTGTTCCTCAGGGCTCAGTGTTGGGACCATTTCTGTTCAACATCTTTATTGATGATCTTGATAAGGACTTAGAGTGTATCATCAGTAAGTTCGCAGATGACACCAAGGTAATCAGGAGTGTCGATCTGCATGAGGACAGGGAGGCTCTACAGAGAGACTTGGATAGATTGGATCCGTGGGCCAACGTTAACGGGATGAGCTTCAACAAGGCCAAGTGCCAGGTCCTGCACTTGGGCCACAACAACCCCCTGCATGGCTACAGGCTTGGGCAGGTGTGGCTGGAGAGCTGTCTGGGAGAGAAGGGTCTGGGGGTTTGAACTGACAAGCAGCTGAACATGAGCCAGCAGTGTGCCCAGGTGCCCAAGAAAGCCAACGGCATCCTGGCTTGTATCAGAAATAGTGTGACCAGCAGAAGTAGGGAGGTGATAGTCCCCCTGTACCCTGCACTGGTGAGGCCACACCTGGAGTATTGTGTCCAGTTTGGGGCACCTCAATACGAGAGAGATCTCGAGGTGCTGGAGTGAGTGCAGAGGAGGGCAACGAAGCTGGTGAAGGGCCTGGACAATAAATCCTATGAGGAGCAATTGAAGGAGCTGGGACTGTTTAGTTTGAGGAGGAGAAGGCTGAGGGGAGACCTCATCACTCTCTACAACTCATTGAAAGGACATTGTGGAGAGGTTGGTGCTGGTCTCTTCTCACAGGTGATTAGTGACAGAACAGAGGGAATGGTTTTAAACTGCAACAGGGGAGGTTCAGACTGGATATTAGGAAAAACTTATCACAGCAAGAGTGGTCAGAGAGTGGAATAGGCTGCCCAGGGAGGGGGTGGAGTCACCATCCCTGGATGTGTTTAAGGGTCGTTTAGATGAGATGTTGGGGGATGTGGTGCAGGGGAGAACTTTGTAGAGTAGGGCTGATGGTTGGACTTGATAATCCCAAAGGATCTTCTCCAACCTGAATGATTCTGTGATTCTGTGAAATTAGACCAAACCAGCATTTTGGATTGAATTGTCTTCCACTAAAAAACTTTTTAGCAAGACAAGTTATTACAGTTGCTGAAGTTTTATGTAAGTGTAAGGAACAAAAGCATGTCTAAAAATGGTATTTAGTTATTTTTGAACATGGATATGGGCATAGAAAGTACTTAGCATGCACAGTGCACAGGACAAGAAGCTCTGGATTCTTCCCATTCTCTACAATAGAGAACAAAATTACCTGTTACATCTATCACTAGAACCTGTTGAGAAAGTCAATAAAACTAAGAGATTTATTATTCCAAAACTCTCTTAGCACATTGTCAAAAATGACCAAAAATATGAATTTCAACCCATTTTTTGCAGCCACTTCTAGAACAGAATTTTCTAGACAGGTTTTTAGTGCAAAAGAAAAAAATCAGGCCTTAGTTATTTAACATACACAATGGCACTTTCACAGTCTTTAGAAGAAATCTTGTTGACAAAGCAAAACACTTTGCTCCTTTTTTTTTTTTTTTTTTTTTTTTTTTTTTTTTTTTTTTTTTTTTTTGTGTGTGAAGTGCTACAGTCTCAGTTCAGGTATTCTGTTCTTATTTACCTCCATAATCCTAAACAATGAGATCTTTAATGAAAAGGGCAAATATTTCAGGTTTTTTATTCAACATTCAAAGCAAAGATTTTTAAAATGATACCTTCAAAGGACTGATATGACTTACAGGAAAGGAAACTCTCAGAATGCTGAGCCATAGAGAAAACTTTATTGAAGTTTCTGAGTTGGGGAAAATGACAGTGTTAGTGCTAGTTAGATAAAGTTATTAATATTAATGTCTTATGCCTAACTGGGAAGACCTTCTAGAATGTAACTTTGTTAAGAATCAGTACTTCTGAAGTTGCAACATGCCACAGTGGGGTTCAAATGGTCCATCAGCTTTTTCAGTGCTACAGTAACACAATAATGTCAGATACCGTACTCATTCAGTAGTCTATATACACACATACAACTGAAATGCGTTTTTGTCTGAGGTATAGCACTCCACAATAAGTAGTCACAGCAAACAAAACATCCAGAAGCCTGTAACTGTAGAAGTTTGTCCATCCAATCTTTGTTTCATTGGATCTTACTGTGTCAGCAGTAACACTACTCATATTTTAGAGGATTCAACAGTAAATATTAAGAACCTCAGTCATCACCAGGAGGGCACAAAAACATGTGTAAGTATGTTTTCCTGGTATTTTACATGAACTCGGAGTCACCTAAACTGTTCAAGCAGGTGTAAGTTAGTCAAATGCAATGCAAATGAAAGAAACAAATATCATGTAAAGATATTAAGACTGCCCAAAACCTCCCCGTCATGTCTTGTCCAGAAAAGAGATTTTAGATTTATCAGTTTAGAAAGAGAGCCCAGACACAGAGAGAAAATGTAATTATATGCAAAATGGCACAACAGAAATTAAAAATAAAGCTAGTAAAATCCTTAACAATAAATGGATTTATAGCTGGTTGGTCATATCAGTGTAATCAAGCTCTGAGGACCCTTGGAAGAAAATCTGTCTTGATTTTCTTTGTAAGTTTTCCAGGGTAATTATTTTTGAAAGCACTTACTGGAAATACCCTCCTGTGAATGTGAAACAAAAAAAAAAGGGCTGCAAATCCCCCAGATTTTCTTTTACCCTAAGATCATTAGTTGGAATGTTTACTCTTTTCACAAAGCTAGCAATGTGTTTGCAACAAACAATTTTTCTTTTCTTTCAAAGCAACACTCCCCCTCCTTTACAAATTGTGTGTGTTGACTGGCTCTACTCCTTTCAGTTTGGTGATGAAAGGAAATTCTATTTTTTCATAAAAATGAACATGTTTGCACATTTTTCACTGTTCTACTGACCAACTTTGAGCACAAATAAGTAAAATAAAGTTCCTCTTATTACTTATAGTTGAAAGGCTCTACAAGACCTTCTCCTGCAGCATTTCAGATACAAGAGTGTTTCAATTTTCAGATAATGGCAACCTGAAATTATACAGTTTTGTAGTAGAGAAAACAAGCTAGATTGCCCACTGAAATTCTATTCTATTTTCCACCAAGGCCTGGCACAAGGACACCTCACAGCTCCTTTGAGAACACAGCACAACCTTGTCACAAATCTTGGCTGAATGCTCCCTCTGTCCACTCTTCCTCCATGTAGTTGGTTCACAATATATTTCTTCAGTATGTCGACTGAGAGTTTCAGCACCCCAAAAAGTTTCTGATTCTTACACAGAACTGCTGTACAAATAATTGTTCATTTAGTTTATGGCCCTACTGCTTGTTACAGGAGAAGACTCACATCCAGAGCATATATTTATCTTGTGGTGCCTCCTGCCCAGGTATATATTTTTGTCCATCTGTCCATCACAACAGTGGTGCAGGAAAGTGCTTCCATTTGAAGAAAGACCAAAACCATCAGGAAAGTGAGTCTCGGTTTCTCAGCAAAGGCCAATTTTTGTCAAACATCTTTTTCTTCTTTAGCTTTGCTAAATTATTTGGAGAAAATTTTTTCAGTGCTACAGTAACACAATAATGTCAGATACCATACTCATTTTCTCCTTTAGCTTTGCTACATTATTTGGAGAAAAAGACAAGCTTTTTGAACAGCCTTTACTAGCCATACCACCTTCACTTGCATATGTCTAACACTGGGGTAGAGTACATGGAGTTAATGCACAGTCATTTCCAGGGATCTTTTCTGACTGAGGAAGCCTTTAACACCTAGAGGCTGCAAAACTCCGGACTGTAGATTGCAAAAGCTAGGGCTTGCTGAAACCACCGGAGCAGCTAATTGGAATTGCTGCATTAAGCCATTACAATTACTCAAACAAAAATTTGCTATGGAGTATGTTAGCTCTTCAGAAGATAAATGTCTTGCCACCCTGCTCCATTTATGAACCTTTCTGTATACAGAGTACTCTGTGATAAGGCTTTATAGATTTGACTATGTCAGAGAGGAAGGATTTTTTCCACTAGAGTAACAGATCTAAGTTGTACTATGAGCAAAATGATATTTTTTCCTTAATGCTGCTTGCTTCCCCCC